CAGGAGAAGGAACGTTCCTGGCGGACAGCGGGATAAAGAGCGGGAGAGTAGATGGATCCCACACCCAGAGAAGATGAACCAAACGGTCGCGTTAAAACAGTGGAGCAGGATCAAAACTGGTCTTAGCCTACATCCAACTCAATAGGAGCAGGAGCGAGCCCTGACCCTGCTCGGCCATTCGGTTTAGGATCGCGGCCCATCTTTTTCGGGGGCGGGGGGGGAACTCGGCTCCACCAGCTCACGTCACCCTGAATTCCACTGGCACTCTCTGGAGAAGGGTCCCGAACCGAAACGCCAACTTTCCTGCCCTGCTGTGTTCCTGCAGCTCTGCTAGCTCAGACTCTGGCATCGGCAGCTCTTACTGTGCCCAAATAAAATCCTTTTTTTTTATTAAGAAAGGGAAAACATTCAACGAGGTAGCCTCAGTTGCTTCACCGAGCAGGAAATTCCAGATTCACAACTCTTTCATGAAGAGGCTCCTCTTCGACTCAGTCCTAAATCCACCTTTCTCCACTAAGAAAGGAGGCAAAACCGTACATATCCCAGGAGGGGTGGCACCAACAGCCTACAGCCGCAACATCACCTCCTTCCCTCTAGACTCAAACAGCTTGCTTTCCCCCTGTGAACAGGGCCCCGAGCACCTCATCTCCAGCATGTTGTTTTCAGTGGCTGAGTTTTAACTGCACTGAGCCGCAAATGCAGGCCAGGCCACTGAAACACAGCCTGTTGAGTTTTAAAGGAAAGCTGCAATGTGGGGATCGCGTGCTACTGCCAAGTACCCTACTGTTGGCAGACAAATGTGACTCACACCCCTTGCGGGCAAGTGTGCAGCACTACACCATCAGCCCTCTTACACCCCTGGATCTCAAAATTCTCTGCCACACAGGTACCTCGAGGGCACAACCTCCCCCCCACCCCCTCCTCACTCATGCCCTGTAGCTGCAACAGAAAGCAGACCACATTTATGCCTGCCAACGTTGCTGCAAGGCTATGCTCTGGAAGCGGTAGAAGGGCTCTTGGAAACATAGGGGTGTAGCACCAGATACCAAGGGACTCATGAGGAAGGTGTGGGATGACATGCAGCTTAGTAAGCACAATGCTGCTCACGTTTTAAGTGTGTGCCAAATCCAGAGTTAGACCCCAACACCACACACAATTCTGTGCACTTATGTTGCACAAAAAGACACTCTGAAGATGAGTCTAGGACCGAAACATCAGCCTTCCCGCTCCTCTGATGCTGCTTGGCCTGCTGTGTTCATCCAGCTCTACACCTTGTTATCTCAGATACTCCAGCATCTGCAGTTCCTACTATCTCTCCCTCTAAACCCTTCCTATCCATGTCCCCATCCATCTGCACTGTGACACTATCATCATATCAGCAGGAGGATGAGATCAAGAACTTAATGCCACACACACACGCCCCAAGGGAGCATCCACACCCTTTCGTAGGAAGCCCACTTCTTATTCATAGGAGCTCATTAGCAGGAATAGCCCCTCTTGACCGCATCTCTCCAAGATACTGGGTGTGAAGGAAGTTATAAAAAGCACAAACACAGCATTGTCAAAAGTGGCTTTATTCAAAAAAGCTGCACAACAGCTACGAGGAAATACACAGTATTCAACAGGTACAAGTCGAGAACACTCCTGTTCAGAGTTGAGCAAGGCCCGTTATGGATTAACGTACATCTTCCAGGGTGCTCCACCTGTTTGGAAGGCAAACAGCACAAGATTACCTCAGGAGCACAACAGCACACTCAGTAGTTCAGTGAGGACATCAGCTCTCTGCAAGACACCACCACACCCACCCCCCAGGCCCTTGTTCACTCAGGATATGGGTGGCCCATCCCTGATTGCCTTTTCTATGGGGTTGGGGGGGGTGTAAGAACCCCAGAGTCCTGTGTGGAAGGAGGACACCAAGGGATAATGTGCAGGTAGCAGTATTCCTTGCACCCGATATCATCCTGAGGTGTAAGACACTCTCAGAAGCCTCAGCAAGTGGTGCACACAACTGCAAATGGAGGGAGTGAATGTCAAAGGCGGGCAGGGCATGGTGATGATTTATCAGGGAGTAAGGGGGGGCTGTTGTGACACACAGACTTTTGTTTGGGAGGGGGTGAATCAGGGGGCATGTTACTCTGCAGGATTCCCAAGCTTCTGACCAACTCGGTAATGATATGGCCAAGACTGGTTCAGTTTCTAGTCAACAGCAGCCTCCCTCGACATTGGAAGATAGTGGTTAGAGTTTGTCCTGTTGGACAGAGGTGTCATCTGGCATTTGTGGGGAAGGGAATGTTGCTTGCTGTGTGTTAGATCAAGCCTGGGCACTGGACCCTACTGCATTGGGACGGCTTCTGTATCAGGATCATGAATGGTCCTGAACCACAGCTACCCAGGCAACTGGAGTATTAATTGCACTCCTGGACTTGTGTATTAAATGGCTTCGGAGGTGGGTGCTTGGAGGAAAGAGACATGAGATATTGCGTACATATCCCAGCGCTGACCTGCTCTTGTACAGAGCCCTAGGCCAGTCGATTTTAAAATGTCACAATGCTGTTAAATTAAGGGTAGATTCAGCAAAAGGCAAGACCTTTGCACATCAAGGAGGAAAACAGGCCGGAAACCCTCGGGATTTAATGGTCAGCTTACCTTTGGGAAAATTGCCGGAAAACACCAAGAAAGGTACTGCAGTCCAGGCAGGTGTCCGCCCCCTTTCAATCAATCATTCATAGCCCACCTACAAACACAAGGACAACAAGTCAAGATTGCACTGGTCTCCAGCAGCGGCCCCCAAAAAGAAAAAAAAACTCAAAACCAAACAAACCAAAACAAAAAACAAAATTAAAATTTAATTAAAAAAACCAAGAGCAGCAGAGGCACCAAGTTTACCCCAGAATAATATAAAAACGTAGAATAGGAAATGCGACCTTACCTATTTGGAATACCTGGTGTAACAGGGTAAGCTGTCTGCCTGCCTGTTTAATCCTAGTCGCAAGGCTTCCTTGTGGCTGCGCTACTCAATAGCTAGCCTCCCACGAAGCATAGAGCAACCCTCAAAAACGCCTACATCGTTTTAAGAATGCGGCACGCACTATCATCAAGTGATAACAAGCTGGCCTCGTCTTGCCTTCCGACGGTGCATGCTCGCGGCCTCGCTGAGCCAAGTGTTCTATACACGGTCTATACACTCCGCAGCTGGCAGTCCTGCCTGGTTCTAGCACAACGTTCCTTTTTTTCCTCCTCAGCTTCTTTTTTGTGCCTGCGTGTAGGGGGGGCCGCCAAACAAACAATTGAACGCTTGCTCCCTTTTGTTTTTTTTTTTGGTCGACGGCTTCGCTCTGGTCTCAACTACACAAGCTCACTCGCTGCCTGTGCCAAGGTAAAGTGTCCAGAGTCTCCTGACTGCTACAACGCAAAGAACTGTTTCGTGTGTTTTTTTTTGAAAAAAGTTTCTTCCACATTATGTTTCAAAAGGAAGCTTAAGACAAGTCACATCACAGCTACGTTCACGCCAGCCCAGTTACCCAGAACAGAGAGAGGACAGAGGGCCCCCCCCCCCCCCCCCCCCCCCAGACCTTGATTTATTACCCCTTCTCCCCCAATTCAAGGGAGCATTCAAAAGTAAAACCACCAAGTTTGAACCAGAACCAAGAAATCTGCCTGGCTCCAATGGATTGTAACGTGAACGTAGCGTGGCCCACACCTCATTCTAACAGAAAGCTTAGATCTCCTTAACTCAAGTGTTGAAGCTGTTTATGCTGCAACTTCAATATTACAAAAAAAGTGAATGAACTAAAAAAGGGCCCAATTCTACAGCAGCAGGGGCAGGTTTAAGAGCTGGTCCCTGCAAATATGTTGCCAGTAAAACCTCAACTGGCGCACCTCAAGTGAGGAGACAAACAGCCCCAGACCCCAAACCAACAGGGACATTGTATGTTAAGAGCCAAGTGGTGAACACAGGGCTGAACCCTGCACCTGTACTGGCACCTTGGGAGGGCAGACAAGTGGGCAATGGAGCCAGTCACGTACTCCAATGCACCACATCCTCCACTGGTGCTTAACTAAGTGTAGTGCACAGGGACACATTGGATGACCCAAAGCTCAACACAACATGGCCTTTCTGGACCAGGCACGGGGGGTGGTATGTGGAGCACTCAACTGCTGGAGGTTTGACTACAGCAACAGGGCCCCTGCCCAACCAGTGCAGTGTAAACTGCCTGGGCCAACTTGCCCAGAGGTGGGCAGCAGCAGGAACTAAGCTCAAGTCAGATCAAGAGGCAGGAAAAACCCCCAGAGGTCCTGACTGGCTTAAACATGTCCCTTGACAACCTTATCACTATGACCTTAAACAAGACAGACTACCTGCAGGGCTAATAAATGGAAAGTTTCTTTATTCTTAGTCATGATCACAACTAATACATTTATATCACTTGAAAACTGCAGCAATAAAATCAAAAACAATTCTAATAAAACTCACTGGAATGTTCATTGTACACTTCCAGGGGGAAGGGGGTAAGTCACAACTATAAAATAACCTGTTCGACAGTTTATCAAAATATCAATTACAGTCCTTACGCAGATATCCATGCATGTGGGTTTTAAATTTTTATTCCTTTCAAAGTTCATGAGTTCAAACACTGACTTTTCTGACTAAAAAGACATTTGCTTCTCTTCCGGTAGCAGTTGTGCCCTGTGCTTGGCTGAGATTTGTATTGTAGTAACCTGCTGTCTCCCTGTTACAATCTCCTGGCTCATCCTCGCCTGCTAAGTACTGTGTTCCTGTTGAACAACATGGGATAAAATTATTATATCGTGCACTCTCTCAATACATGTTTCTTTTTTTCTATTAAAAACATAGCCAAGGGCAAAAGGGGCAGGGCATCCACTGGCCAAACCCATTGCCAAGAAAATTTAACCCTACGAGTAATTATCCAGTTCATAGGTGCATGCGCACAGTAGATACACTGGCACTGCAATTAGAGATAGACGCAAACTGACTGCTATACTGTTCAGATGCAGTAATATATTTCAATTGAACATATATACACAACAGTCTTCAACACCCTTCTGCCCAACTCCCACTTCCAAAGGAGTAAGTGCTTGTTGTTATCAGGGGCTTCCTGGAGCTTCCAACTTGCTGGGCACAAGATTAGAGTGAAGAGGCCAAAAACCAATCTTCAATGCACAGCTTTGCCTCCCCAACCCACCAGATTGCTGTAGTTACTGATGCATTAGGGACCCGACCCACCCAGCAAAAACAAAAATAATGGGAGTCCCATGCTAGCCACAACCCCCCACTTGCTGCTGTTACCCATATACGCACCTGGCTTTAGAACCGCCGACTGAAGGATCCACCACCACCTCCTCCAGATCCATAATTACCTGCAAGGACACAGTCAGGTCAGTCAGACTCACTGCAGAAACCCAAGAGTGGCCAATGCACCGTGTCACACTCAGGAAGCGCTTACCTCCATAAGGTCCAGAGTTTCTCCCACCATAACCACCTCCTCCACCACCCTTCATTGGCCCATAGTTAGACGACTGCTGGTTTGGATAGTTGCCAAAATCATTGTAATTTCCACCGCCGCCTCCACCACCTCCTCCAAAGTTGCCTGCGTTGAGAATAAATAAGTGTCTGTGCAGATCAGGGCTTGGCATGCATGAACGACTGAAACGGCTGCTCAAAGTGAAAGGGGGCTGACTTACCACCAAATCCACCACCATAGCCATCATATCCACTGCCGCCACCACCTCCTCCGCTGAATCCGCCACCACCCTGGTTGCCATATGTCGGGCTGCCACCATAGCCAGGACCACCACGGCCTCCACCACCATAGCCGCTGCCGCCCCCATATCCACCACCTGTCATTCACAAATTAGACACGGTCAGCCACAAGGGATACAGTGAAACACAGGGCCTGCTGTCACCTGAACCCAGAGGCCATGACACATACCATCGCCAAAACCATTGTAGCCATCACCACAGCCGCCATAGTTGCCACCACCTCCTCTGGAGCCACCAAATCCACCTGCAACAAAGAAATCCGTCAGGGACACCAACAAACACCCACAAAAGTACCACAAACCACCAGGCTCAAACACAACAGCTCACCACCTCTGTTTCCGAAGTTGCCACCTCCTCCTCCACCACCACGGCCAAAGTTACCGGAGTTGCCAAAGTTGCCTCGGCCAAAGTTGCCAGAGCTTCCTCGTCCTACACAAGGAAAATATACACCAGGATTACAACAATAAAAAAGGTGACGCACAGCAAACAACAGGCCTATAGGCTCAAACAGCTCAGGGCACAGCTCACCTCGCTGGTTCATGCCAGAATTCTGCATCTCTTCACGGGAAAGGGCCTTCCTGACTTCACAGTTGTGTCCATTCACTGTATGGTACTTCTGAACTAGAGATGATGAGAAGTGAATTTAGTGGAATCTCAGCCAGAACCCCCAGTCAGTTACCCTCCCCAGAGGCAAGTTTCAACCCTTACCAACAATCTTGTCGACAGCATCGTGGTCATCGAACGTTATGAAGGCAAATCCCCTCTTTTTCCCGCTTTGACGGTCTGTCATTACTTCAGTCACCTCAATCTTGCCAAATTTCTCAAAGTAGTCCCGTAGGTGATGTTCCTCTGTATCTTCCTTGATGCCACCAACAAAGATCTTCTTCACCGTCAAGTGTGCTCCAGGCCTGGTGGAGTCCTAACAACAGACAAGCACCAAATCACAAAACGCTAGATACACAACTCAGCACGCCTGCAACTATCAGCCAGCCAGGAAAGGGGGACCCACCTCTCTTGACACAGCACGTTTGGGCTCCACAACACGACCGTCGACCTTGTGAGGCCGGGCAGCCATGGCACTGTCCACCTCTGAGACGCAGGAATAAGTCACAAAGCCAAAGCCCCTGGAGCGTTTTGTATTTGGGTCTCTCATCACCTGAGAAGAGATTGTTACACACAATCAGCCACACACCATAGAAAGGACACCAACAAACTGCTGTCAAACAAGGGACTCAAACTCACCACACAATCTGTCAGCCGGCCCCATTGCTCAAAGTGGTTCCGCAGGCTGTCATCTGTCGTTTCGAAGCTCAAGCCACCAATGAACAGTTTGCGCAGCTGCTCAGGCTCCTGCGAATCCTCCAAGAGAATTGCAAGGAGGAAAGCATTAGCACACAAGAGATTATCTACTGGTGACCAGCTCATGAGCCAGTCTCCATCCCCAGGCCCACAACAATTGGTAATGGAAAATCTGCTCAGATGGGGAGTACACCACAAGCCACTCAGTGACCTGGACCTAACATGGGAAGCTAAGTCTTTCAAAACAGAAAGGAAAGAAACAGATTTCACTGGGGTAACAAGATTCATTCACAACCCTCCTAATCAAATCACAGTAGATATGACAGCCTCTGCCCAGGCCACTTGCCCCAGTCAGAGGCAAGAAACAAAAGGACAGTGAATGTGCAACTATAAGATTCACCACAAGGGGGAATAACAATCAGGAGGGGAAAAGCAGCCCAACTACACCACAGTACATGGCCACAAGTGTCATGAGGCAGAAACAGGAGAAATAAAGTAGGTGTGGCAGCAGTCCCACAGGGGAAGGGAACAGTCACCAATACAATTTAAACAGTAAAACCATTGGCAGAAAAGAGCAAATGTAAGGGAAATTGAAAACAGTCCACCATTCCACAGGAGTGGAAAGTGAGGAAAACAGAAGTGAATTAAAAATGAAAATCAACAGCAAAAGGGATGAAATTCAACAGTGAGGCAAGGTAGGGGTGAATAACACAGGAACAGCTAAGATCGAAGGGCAAAATCCAGACAAAAATATTATCCCCATTTAAAACTAGAAGAATTTTCAAGTTGAAATGGGAGGGCATCAAATTTGCAAAGGAAAGAAAAGAAAGACAGGAAACCAAGTTAAAACAACAAAATGAAGAGAGATTGTTAAAACTTGATTGAAGGAAAGCACATTAAAATAGTTTAAGCAAAAACCAAATAAGACAAACACATCCAAGAAGGAAATGAAAAAGCGGGGAGTAGGGACGCCATTTCATGAAGCGGGAGAAAGGAAGAGGAAAACACGAGTGGCCGCCATTTCGTGGAAACACAAGGGAGGGGAGGAAAATAAAAAAAACAAACAGTTTAAATTGAAAGACAGGCTGCCATTTCATGAGCCCTGGGGAAGTGGGTGGACAAAACCATGGGGCCGGGGGAGGACACAACTCTCCAAAATACACCACAGAAGTTACTCTCTTTATAAAGATGAGCTACTCACCTGCACACTAATCTGAAACCATCCCACTGAGGGGGGAGAAGGACGCGTGTTTAAAGGGAAATACTGAGGGGGTATTTGCCATTTTGAGAGCTCTTGGGGAGCTTGGTGTTGGGGATGAAAAACAGTTTAAAAACGATCAAGATCCCATTTTTAAAAATCAAATCAGAGCTACTCCCCTGCACATGGACCTAAAACGATCGAACTGAAGAGGGGGATGAAGGAGGCAAACTTAAGAGAAAGGAGGGAGTACCTGGCATTTTGAGAGCTCAAGGGAGGGAGGGGGAACAAAAACCCACTAACCACAAATAGGGGAATTTAAAAGAAAAGAGACAGGAGGGGGAAGGCACCATTTCTTAGGGCACTTAGTGGGGGGTGGTAAAACTAAAACTAACAGGCAATTTTATTTTTTTTTACATCAAATCAGAGCAGCTCACCCATCTGCTGATCTAGAAGAATCTCCCTGAAGGGGAGGTGAGGGAAGGAGGGGAACTTAAAAACAGAAAGGAGAGCAATGCCACCTTTTCTGGAGTTCCCAGGGAACGTGAAACCAATTTTTAAATATCAAGTCTCAGAGTGAATTAATACAAAAAGCAGAATGGTGGTGGTGGGCACTGTTCCCTAAGCGCTCAGGGAGGTCGGTAGTGGTGGTGTGTAAACCCCTTTGAAGAACACATTCTGTACTTTACACCAAACCCAGAGCAACTCACCTGTCTGCAGACTTAAAAACCATCTAGTTGAAGAGGAAGGCAGAGGGGTGAGGAGGGGAAATTTAAAAGAAGCATAAAACAAAGAGGGAGAGGGGGAATTTGAAGGATAAATCAGACAGAACAGGAAGCAGGTGAGGCGGGAATTTTAAAGGAGAAATAAAACAAAGGAGGGAAAGGGACAAAAGCCTTTTTAAAACAAAAAGTTAAGCAACAAGGCAGATGGAAGGTGGTGAAATTTAATGGAGAATAATAAAAAATTTAAAGGAGGGAGAATGGACGCAAATTGAAGAGGGAAAGAGAATGGAGGGGGAAGGTGGTGAACTATAAAGGAGAAATAAAAAAATTAAAGAAAACAGGCAAATTGAAAAGATAAGGTAGAAAAACAGGGAAAGGACAGGGAAGAAGGTGAACTATAATTAGAGAAATAAAAAAGTTAAAGGAGAGAAAGCAGGCAAATTGAAAAGAGCATGTAGAAGGAGGGGGAAAGGCAGGGGAAGAATGCAAACTATAGAGATATAATAAAAATTAGAGAAAATACAGGTGAATTGAAAAGAGGGAAAGGAGGGGGAAAAAGGTGAAGTATAAAGGAAAAATAATAGAAAAATTGAAGGAAGGAAAGAAAGGAGGCCAATCAAAGAGAGAGTGTAGAAAGGGAGGGGAAGGCGGCGAACTATAGTTGGACAAAAAAATTAAAGGAGAGAAGGCAGGCAAATTGAAGAGTGCAGAAGGGGGAAGAAAGCGAGCTATACAGGAAAAATAATAGAAAAATTAAAGGAAGGAAAGAAAGGAGGCGAATTGAAGAGAGAAAGGAGAACAAAGGGGGAAAAGGCAAACTATAAAGGAGAAATAAAAAATTAAAGAAAGCAGGTGAATTGAAAAGAGAATGTAGAAAGAGAGGGAAAGGAGGGGAAAGGCGGCAAACTATAATTAGAGAAATAAAGGCGAGAAAGCAGGCAAATTGAAAAG